ACACACACACACACACACACACACACACACACACACACACATACACACACACACACACACATTGTTCCAACTTGTCAGACAGGGTAAAGTCAGTCTAGTTTGTAACAAAGAATTACATTTATTTGGAGCTTATTAATGTTGTGGTCTCAAAGACATTTAAGGAAGTCCAGAATGTCCATATGATGGTGGCTGTTTTGACAGCTTAATCTCAGGGGGTTAATTTGGGATTGTGACTGGTGTGCAAAGGTCAAGCTGTCTCATGATGAAGCCATGGTTTGGCATAGTTCATGAGGTCTGCGTGTACTGATGAGTGCAAGCAGCCTCAGTCCATAGTTCATTTTCAGACATAGCTGACAGCTGGCTTTACAAAGCCACATTCCATTTAAAGGCTCACAATCCATGCTGTCATCAACCGTGACTTTCTTCCTGGACAACATTCATTCTTTTCCATGTGGCTATCCACTTTTTTCAGCACTTAAAATTTTATATTATTATTTACCTTATGCATGTGGATGTTTTACCCACACATATATCTGTGCCCTATGTGTGTGTATGGTGCCCAAGGAGGCTAGAAGAGGGTATTACAGACAGGTTGTGAGTCACTACCTGGGCACTGGGAATCGAATCGAGGTCATATTAAAAAAGAACAGCCAGTGCTTTTAACTTCTCTATCTCTCCACCTTCCCTCACAGACTCCCCTCAATTCCTTTTGTGACAATGTCTTGCTATGTTGCCCTGGCTGGCTTGGAACTTGCTATGTAGACCAGGATGGCCTTGAATTTACAGAGATCCACTTTCCTCTGCCTCCTAAAGTCTGGGATTAAAGGTAGGTACCACTATGCCCAGCTACCATAGTGGATGAAATTATACTTTCCCCCACACAATAGGTTTGATGTCATTTAAAAAATGTAAGGATTTGTTTGTGGGGGTGCTCTTTTCTGTTCTGCTGATCTATATGTATTTTTATACCAATATTACATGCTTTAGTTACTGTAGCTTGTAACAAGTTTTAAAGTCAGGAAATATGAATTAAGATTCTTTATTTCATGCATATATGTATATACGTAGATTATATGTGTATATGTGTTTACATGCGTGTATGTATGTGTACCATGTGTGCCCACACTCTTTTCTGTTCTACTAATCTATATGTATTTTTTATGCCAATATTACGTGCTTTAGTTACTGTAGCTTGTAACAAGTTTTAAAGTCAGGAAATATGAATTAAGATTCTTTATTTCATGCATATATGTATATACATAGATTATATGTGTATATGTGTTTGCATGCATGTATGTATGTGTACCATGTGTGCCCACAGAGGTTAGAAGAAGACATTGCATCCCCTGGAACTAGAGTTACAAATGGTTGTGAGCCACCTCTATAAGAGCAACAAGTGCTCTTAAGCACCAGGCCATTTCTCCAGCCCATGAAATATGAATTTTAGTGAGTTTTAGGATGGTCATGTCAGCTTTCTGTCACTGCAAGAAATACCTGAGATAATGAACTTAGAAGAGGTTCATCTTGGATTCCAGCTTTAGAGATTGTGGTCTATGTCTACTGGTTCATCTTGGGCCTGTGGCAAGGTGACAAATCATGATGTGAGAGTATCTGGTAGATGATCATGTCAGCTTTCTGTCACTGCAAGAAATACCTGAAATAATGAAGAGGTTCATCTTGGATTCCAGCTTTAGAGATTGTGGTCCATGTCTACTGGTCCATCTTGGGCCTGTGGCAAGGTGACAAATCATGATGTGAGAGTATCTGGTACAAAATTGCTCCCCCCATGGTTAGGAAGGAAAAGAAAAAAGGAAGAGGAAGGAGTCTGGGGCATGTTCCATATTTAAGGGACTCTAG